AATTCGTGAGTTGCTGATGGGGTTGATGGCTGCTTGGAGACAATCTTCTTGATGTTCTGGAGGTCAATGCAGATCTGCTTCATCACTAATTCGGGTGGTTGTAGAGCGAGTTGCCGTTGTATCTTGGCGGCTAACTTCTGCTTCTTTTCCCATTCCCGGAGTTTTGTTGGGCTCTCAGGGCCTTTCTCTTTACTATCTCCGGAATCTCTATCTGGTTGTTGTTGTTTTTCTGCTCGAATTTGTGCTCGGGTTTGTACTGCCATGACTTGAGGATCTGAGTCATCATTGTCGGCATAAGGTAGTTCGTCGGTCTCGACCATCCTTGTTGTTGGTGGTTGCTGCTGGTTTTGATCTTGTTGTCGAGGAGGCGGTGGACCAAGTCTCAGCGGACCGCCTTGGTTTTGAAGTCGAGGTTGCCATGCTCGGTTGTTACAATTGCCTTGGTAGCCATGGTCTTGATAACCTTGGCCTTGGTATCTTCGGTTTTGGTATCTTGGGTATTGTTGGTATCCTTGGTTGTAGTTGTCTCGGTTTGCTAGGTAGTTCCAGTTCGGCGGGTGTTGTTGATCGTTGTAGTTGTTGTTGTAGTTGTTGTTGTAATTGTTGTAATTCTTGTAGCGAGGTTGATCATTCCATTGTCGACTCTGGTGTTGGAAGTTGTTTCTCAACAGTCTCCAGTTTGTTGGAGGTGGTGGCTGGTAATTGTTGAAGTATTGATTTGGATATGGTTTTCGAAATTGCTGTCGGGGATAGTTCGAGACTTGTCAAACTTCTAGAGAATTCAAAATCTGCAAGCTTTGGCATCATGACCTTCTTTGGTACAGATCTGGCATTTGGAGATTTGGAGCTTGTAGTCACTTGCCGGATGTCCTTCGTTCTTGCACTTAGTACACCAAATTCTAGATCGAAATTCTTTGATGTCGGCCTTGGCTTTTCCCTTGAGCTTGTCGATTGTTTTCTTGAGTTTCCGAAGTTTTGACTTGGTGCTTTCTCCGAGTTCATCTCGGAGTTGTCGTTGGAACTACTATCAGAATCTGAGTTATCTGTGTCATCTACTTGTGCTGTCATTCGTCGAGCTTGAACATCTTGATGGGCTCTTGTGAGTTCGAGATAAGTGGCAACGTTGATGTGCGTTGCCGCTTCTTAGAGGGATCGTTGGAGTCCTTGCATGTACCATTGGTAAAGTAATGTTTCGGTGGCACTGTTGCCGCATTTGCTGGCATGTTGAGTGAAGGTTTGAGTGTAGTTGTCGATGGATTGACCAGACTTCTACTTGAGTTTTTGGATCTTGTGAAGTCGTTGGCTTTGAGTGAGGGAAGACTTGAATCGGTCTACGAGCTTGAGTGCGAGGTCGTCGAAACTTGTATTTTGAGGAAGCGTTTGAGCCCATTTGTTGGCTCTCTTTCGAAAGGGTACATCAGAAATAGTATGGAAGTTCAGTCGTCTGGCTGTTGATTCGGATTGCTTCTCGGAACTGTTCAACATGTTTCTTGGCATCTTCTGACTTCAGACCATGAAATAGTG